GATGTCACTTGATGACCTTTTGGCGTGTACTGACAATTTTGATCAATCAAATATTGTTGGTTGTGGGGGTTTCGGTTTGGTCTACAAGGCTATCCTTCGTGATGGTAGGAAAGTTGCCATCAAGCGGCTTTCAGGTGACTATGGACAGATGGAAAGAGAATTCCAAGCTGAAGTTGAATCGCTTTCTAGAGCTCAGCACCCAAATCTGGTTCATCTTCAAGGATATTGCAAGTACAGAACCGACAGGCTTCTAATTTATTCGTACATGGAGAATGGAAGCTTGGATTATTGGTTACATGAGAAAGTTGACGGACCTGCTTTGTTGAACTGGGATATGAGGCTTCAGGTTGCTCAAGGGGCAGCACGAGGGCTCGCGTACTTGCACCAAGCGTGTGATCCTCATATCCTACACCGAGATATAAAGTCAAGTAACATTCTTCTTGATGAAAATTTTGAAGCACACTTGGCTGATTTTGGTCTAGCTAGGCTTATTCTGCCCTATGACACTCACGTGACGACTGATGTTATTGGAACGTTAGGGTATATACCTCCTGAATACGGCCAAGCTTCTGTAGCTACGTATAAAGGGGATGTGTATAGCTTTGGTGTCGTTCTTTTGGAGCTTCTTACAGGCAAAAGACCGATGGATCCGTGCAAGCCTAGAGCAAGCCGAGATCTAATCTCTTGGGTGATACAATTGAAGAAACAAAAGAGAGAAACTGAAGTGTTTGATCCTTTGATATACGACAAGCAGCATGCGCAAGAAATGTTATTGGTTTTTGAAATTGCTTGCCTTTGTTTGCATGAATCTCCTAAAATAAGGCCTTCCTCTCAGCAGTTAGTTACTTGGCTCGACAACATAAACACACCACCTGGTGTTCATGTGTTTTAAGAGGTCCGATATACCTTTGCATTCATTTTTCAAGGAGTTGATAACTTATATTTTCAGCGGATTTCCTGCACATATGGCAATGGATTCTGGTGTAAATATTTGTCCTCAAGAATGAAAGGATTAGTGATGAGAGTCTTGACAGATATCTCATACATTGCAAGTGTTTTACTTTCCCTTCTTGTAATTTTCTGGAATTGAAGAATATATATATGTTTCTCCTCAAACATGTACAAATAACATTGTTTTTCTTTTTTTGGTAATTACAAATAACATTGTGAATTTTTCATGATCTTATTTTACTTTATAATAGATGGACAACATCAGTTTATTCCCTCTGCATTTTTCAATTCTATGGTGTTTACTAGGTTTTGCTTTTCAATATTTATCATTTATATCCGCATAACATACAAACATGCATGATTTTTATCCTCTTGTTTAACATAACGTAGCAGTAGAGTCTTGATTACTGCACCAAGTTTGTATGGTATTAGAGCCTGTTTGACCAAGCTTCTGGGAGGCTAAAAGTACTTTTTTTTCCCAAAAAAAGTACTTTTTTAAAAATTTAAGCTATTTGGCCAAGATAAAGAAGTACTTTTGGCTAGCAGCAGAAGCAGTTTTTCTGCTCGCATTCCCGGTTTCAAGTCAGATAAAGAAGAACAGGTGTACTCACATTCCCGATTTCAAGCCAGATAAAAGAAGAAAGGTTGTGGTAGGTGACACCAGAAAGGTTGTGGTAGGTGACACTCGTCGTTATACTAATCAATATATGATTAAAATGGAGTCCCCCTTAGTAGCGTACGCATGATTTTTGATAAGCCGTGTTAAAATTTGAAGAACTGAACGAATGAATAAGTTATTATAATGAAAAGCGGTGTTATTTTTTATATTTATACCCAATATTTTTGTTTTATATATATATATATATATATATATATATATATATATATATATATATATATATATATATATATATATATATATAAGGATACGCGCGTTGCGCGTGTATTATTATCTAAATGAGTACAAATTTTTACAAAATTATAGTATTAAATTTCTGATTGAATCATGAAATATATGT